AAAAAAAAAAAAAAAAAAACACGAAGCAAATAACAAAAAATAAATTTGAGAAACAAAAAACAAACAATTTTATTATAATGTAGTCTAATTTATGCAAATAAACAATGATAGAATACCTAATTAAAGACAAACTATAAAAGATTATTCAAACATAAATTAAAAGATTCAAAATAGAATGGTCTAACTAATTGTCTTCAAGAGCAACTAGATAAAAAAGTGTCAAAAACAATCCTCAAAATAATAGTCATGCATTTTCAAGGTGGACATTCAAGTACTACTCTTAATTTATCTGGATGTTCAAGTATATATAAATAAGTAGTGATAACATGATTTGACGTTAATCCCAAATCCTCCAACATATTCCAAACTTCTGACTTTAAAAGTGGAGGATGTGAATTTCCTTCAAAAAGTGCTCTAGCTACATTGTTAATAACTTCCTTGATGTCAGTTGCTTCATTTTCAATTTCTTGTGACTTCTCTATTTTTTTTGGTGTTGAACTAGTAGCCACATTTAAAGGGCTCCCAAGATATGTTAGAGGATCCATATTAGCATCATAATTCTCAAAACCTTCCAATGATCCTTGACTTTGTAACACCATGTAGTCATTTTCTTCAATATTATTTTGAGACCCATTGTCATGTTTTGAAGATTGCTTTTTCTTTAGTTCTTTTGCAATCTCTAACTTTTTCACTTATAACTCGATCGTTTCCATATAGCATCACAAATACATCATAGTACAAAATTGGTTTGGTCATCCACTCTCCAACATTCTTATTAACCTACAAAATATCAATATGATAAAACCAAGAGTTATTTTAAGATCAAGTAAAATGTTAACAAGAAAATTTAAATTAAGAGGGTACCTTTATTAATGCATCCTAAACTTTTTGTTTAGCACTTTATAACTTGGTAATAGGGCTCTTTGAAAAACCACTAATATTTTTAAATAAATCATGACATTTTGAAAAGATTTCCCTTCAAAGTCTTTATACCGGTTTTCACCTCATCTTTATCAACATCCTTCCCAAGTTTTTCTTTCAATCTATTTACAATGTTATCATATGCTTTCATGGTGAAAGATCCATTTACCTCATTACCAAATTATGTTGATGTAAGAAAGTATCCATAAGAATTGCATTTGTTATTGGTGTTCACGTAAATTTGCCTTCCTCACTTGCATTTTCAATTTTACCCTTTTTCTTCTTCCCCTATGCCTAGGAAAAATTGAAATATTTGAGAGAAATTTTTAAATGGAATTTATTAAAAAGGAAATATATACTATAGTACTCTCCAAAAAAACATTATGATGACCGTCCAAAAAACCAAAAATTATCAAATGGCACAGCCCTGTGGCGGACTCAACTCCTCCGTAATACTATAGTACTCTCCAGCAGTAAGAAGTAAATTATCTACTTATTGTTAATAACTGGGAATTGTTAGCTCATACAGTCACTGGTAAATTATTTGCTTTTCTATTGTAGTTGTTGTATTTTTTTTCCTGCTATTCATAGTTGGGTATGTTTGTTGATGCATCTTATAAGCTTTTTAAGCAACCCAGAATTCAAATCTAGGAAACAAAAAATGAAAGATTTATTGGGTTTATTGGGCTTATTTATTGAAACAGGTCTTGTTGATCTTATCATCTCTAATCTTAACTCTCTATTACATTGGTTTAGTTTTAAAAAACCAAAATTATAAAACTGTACAAATCCGTACTTCATCATGGTGTATTTGTTCTTATTTTACAGTTATATATATATATGTGTACGTGCGCTGAACAGTAAAATGACAAGGATTGACGATATTAAATTTTAAGGTACAAAGCTTCCTAAGACATAGTTATGACTTTATATTTTGATGTTTTGCAATTTTATTTGGGAGGTTTTATCATCAAAGACAAAGACAAGATACAAAAGAAACAAAGTATAATTAGTTTTGCAGATTCTGAAGAAAGCCATACAATGTGCAGAACTGCAGATGTTATAAATCAAATATTTTAAAATAGAATTACCTGGAGAGAATTTGGTTGATCAGAACTTTGTTTCCAAACTTTCTGCTTCCTTCTCAACAACAAACTCTACAAACAGCTCAACACATTTTTTTTCCAAAAACGCTTAAAAAATTTATGAAGTAATTAAAATTGAAGTTGAGTTCAAAGTATCCTTACGTTGAATTTAGTGGTTGCCATTGATAACTAGCTAGAAAAAGAACAAGAGGATTTTAAATAGTAAGAATAAAAAAGACATGACTGTAATTTTAAAACATAGAATTTGAACGATCCCCCAAATCAGGGGATTGGGAATTAACAGATTTGAGGGGTTGTTGAGGGGTTCTAGACCCCCTCAATCTCCTCCCCTTCCCATTCATTAGAAATCCAAACAAGAAGGAGACAATCTCCTCTCACTCCCCTCAATTACCATCCATCACATTCACATTTCATCCATTTTCATCACTTATTCAATCTAAATAAAGTGTTGTGGTAAAAAGAGAATAAGTACTAATTATAAATAATACCAAATTATTTTACAACATACCTATTTGATGTGAGTGAAATTAATAACACCAAAGAGAATAAAAAGTAACATAATAAATAATCTTCAATATAGATTACTCAGAACAATTTAATTAAATAAATAAAAAAAGTAACTACAGAATCTTCTGCTGCGAAAGTTTAGGAGGATTCTCAGTTTTCGATTGGAAGTGCTATGTTCTTAGAGGCGCCACGGTTGGATGCACCATTGGTGCTTGAATATGGCTATTTCTTCTTACTCAAAACACAGCCATTGTTTTCATAAATTTAAAATTTTGTTTAAAAAAACTTAAAATTAACTTTTTAAGTAAATTTTAAGTGAGTTTTAAAAAAAATTACACA